CGTGCTTATAATGATAAATATTTGGGCGGTGAGCATTTTAGAAAAGAAAAAGCTGGTAGCAAAGCAGCCAAGGAGAATACAAAACTAATGACGTAACATTGACAGATAAAGGCATTAGCAAAGACGAGAGGTTAAAGCTAGAACACAAATAGGAGTGCTACTCCAATGCAAGGGAAAATTAGTTGCTTTGACATTTGAAGAAGAAAATTGAATTCTCAGTATTGACTGTGATAAGCGTCTGCATGTAGGAAAAGGACAGTAAAGTGTATGCCTTTCAGTTTAAAAATTGTCTATTGTAAGTGTGAAACAATGTTCTCCTTTGAGGGAAAAGAAAAAAACACATGCGTAGGATTGGACATCCTACTTGTCTTTGTCGGTCTATCTTTTCTTTTTTTTTTTTTTTCTATTAATTTACTTAATACCTTTCCAGCCTGATTGAATGCTCCTCCCTCCACTCCTCCAAGTCATACCCTCAAACAACCCTTTCCCCCGTACTCCCTTCTAATCAGAAAATGGGAGATCCCCCAGGGGTAACCAACCTACCCTGGAACATCATGTCACAGCAGAACTAAGTGCATCCTCTTCCACTGAGGTCAAACAATGCAGTCCAGGTAAGGGGAAGAGATCTGAAACGGATCACAGAGTCAGAGACAGCCTCTACTCTTATTGTTAGGGTACCCACATAATCACCAAGCTGTACATCTGCTACCCATGTGTAGGAGGCTTAGGTTCAGTTCATGCATGCTTTGTGGTTGATGGTTCAGTCTCTGTGAGCCCCTATGGGCCAAGGAAAATTTACTCTGTAGGTCTTCTTATAGAGTCATTGACCCCTTCAGCTTCCTTAATCCTTCCTCCATCTCTTGAAAAAGAGTCCCTGAGCTATGTCTATTGTTTGGCTGTGGGTCTGTTTCCATCAGCTGCTTGATAAAGACTCTCAGAAGACAGTTTTGCAAGGCTCTTGTCTGTAATCACAGAGAGTTTCATTAACAGTGTCAAGGGGTGGCTCTCTCTCATAGGGTAGGTCTCAAGTTGGGTCAGTCATTGGTTGGCCATTCACTCAATCTCTGCTCCATCTTTATCTCTACATTTCTTGTATACAGGACAACTTTTGGGTCAAAGGTTTTATGAGTGTGTTGATATCCTCCCTCCACTGGAAGTCCGACCTGGCTAAGGAGGTGGCCACTTCAGGCTCCATCTTCCCTGCTGCCTGGAATTTCAGCTAAGGTCACCCCCATAGATTCCAATGTGCCTCCCCAGTCAATAGGGATGGCCCTCCCCACCAATTTCTATTTTCTCTCTTAGTCTACCCTCCCTCCACCTTCAACCACACCTGATCCCTACACCCAGCTCTCTTTCACTTAGTTCCCTCCCCCTCTCTGCCCTTCTGAGTGGTTTGATTATCCTCAAGGAAGGTCTGTTTTTTTCTTTATCAAGAGTCTAGACAGAGGAATTGGAGAGCTATCTTAAGCCTTTCTTGAAATGAAAACAATGGTTTCCAGTGCAATGTTCATTTTCTGACTTTCTGTTTATGGGCAATCTTCCCTTCAGCTCCAAACTACCACATTGATTTCAGAAAGTCACAACAAGTCCACAAAGGAAGAAGATGTGTAGTAGTTACTGGGCAAGGCTTTTGGGAAATAGACCAATATTTCAGCTTAAAAAAAAAATAATCACATAGAAGTTGTAGTCCCAGCTGAACACATTTTTATCACTACAATGATGCAAAATTATTAAAACACTGCTGTAATTCCAAGCAGCCATGCCTAGTAATAGGGCTTCTCTATGCCCTGTCAAGAGGATCACACTTTAAGTGACACATGGTGAGCAGTGTCATCCTGAGTTGAGTGGCATGATCTGAGGATGGACTTCTGTGACTTATTAAAGGTTCTTCTGTGATAGTTTTCTGTAACCCCCATGCTCCTGTTCTGAGTAGAGGTGTCAAGCTGACTGCTGTTTTATGAGCACAGGTCATAAGACACTTTCCCAGTTGTGGCAGTATTCCATTAAATATTTTTGCTGCTGTTTTTTTTTTTTTTTCCTGTTTGGTTGTTTTTGTGTTTCAGGTACCTTAGGTAGTTAAAAAAAGTCCTCATAGGAAAACTCTTTAAATTATTATTTTTACTATATTATGCTTAATGTCACATAAACCATGCAGAATTTTGATTACCTCTAATGTATCAGATATTAGTTCAGTTAATCCATACAGTAGCTAAATGAGGTGGATGTTTTAGCATGAAATACTAAGTATAAGGACACATGTAAATTTAGTTAATTAGCCCAAGACCAACTGGATTCAAATGATGTCTGAACAGAACAACTGTAGTTTGAGGGGGATATTGAATCAATTGTTATGTCTATGTTTTGGATAGAAAAGGAAATGCTGACTTCTTTCAATATTCAAATATCAGCTTTATCATCAGTGCCACTACAAGGGTAAATATACAGAAGATCCAAAAAAAAAAAAATTCTCACCAGCCCAATGTTACTATGCTCAAATTAGTCCCTAGGGTGAGAATCATAATTATGAAGCCAGTAGATCTCATGGATAAAGATGTGCCTCACCCTTTCTGAGGATCAGCAACACAAGATCAATGCTGCACAAACCTCTGAATATATGGGGAGATGACATCCAGACCCACCTTACAAATGTTCCTCGGTAGCATTTGATAACTGCTGAGGATATAGGGTCATGCTGTGTGGCCACTGGTAGGTTTTCCAAGTTCTATATGACCCTAAGCCCTATATGGTCAGCACAAATTACACCATCATTTTCCTAAACTAATGTGACTTCTAATTGTTTTCTGAATATTTATTGTTATTCTCAGAGATAAGTATGACTCATCAGCTTCAGCCAAGAAGTTTCCTTTTGCAAAAGCTGTGGACTCTTACAGGAATCCACAAGTAGCCAAAATTCAGGAATAAGTGACCACTGGGGATTATGTAACCCCAACTGATACACCTGCAACAGAACTCCTATAACTAAGGCTCAGAAAAATATCACAGAGGAGAGAGCAGAAAGATTACAAAAGTCAGAGGCCCGGTACATCTACTAATATGTAGTGTCCTTTACATAAAGCAATATAAACCCATGAAATATCAGTAATAATGTTCCATATATAAGAACAATAAAATCATGGAACAAATTCTATGAGGTCACACCCATAGCTGAGTACCTACAGATAGTCAATGGCTGCTGAGAGTGATAGGTTCTGTTGCTTCCGGGTGCTAGCTCACTCATAGCCTGTCCATTCCTAAGTGGTCAGCCATGGACACATGTATATATGAGCAATGTTTAATGTATACAATAAATTGTATATTTGTGGTATGTGTGTGTTTGTATGTTTATGTGTTTGAATAGCAATAATAATTAAATAAGATGTTATTAATTTAGAAAAAATATCAGAGGCATGGAAGAAATTAAGGAAGGAAGGGACAAGAGTGATATACCTGAAGTGCTTATGTGAAATGCTTAAAGAAGTTTTTGAAATTTTTTAAGAAGATTAAATCTAAGAAAATTAAGAGGGTACATTATTGTGGAATACAAGAGTTGGAAATGGAAATGAGTACGTATCTTATCTTATGTTATTGTATACCTGTATGAAATTTTCGAAAACATTAAAATGCCATAGTCTTTACTAATAGATACTTCACTTCTAGTGAGCAGAGAAACGGTGATATTTACTTCTGTCCGATACCTCTAAGATAGCAAAAGTTTTACCAGTCAAAAAGAAGAGATGATTCTCACTAAACATTTCAAATGTATTTTCTGTAAATACACAAATAAATAGATAAATAAATGAATAAATAAGGTCTTCCAACTATATTCATTTATCTCATTTAGGCCTTTTTGTGTCTGCTTCTATACTATGATCTTAAGTGATCAGTACATTGATTCATGCAGAATAAAACATCAAGTAGTTTACACCTCCGAATCAATAAGAAAGCACTGTATTAGAAGAATTCAGTATGTTACCTTCATTGTACAAGCTCCAGTTGTACTTTGGAGTAGCACACAGAGACCTGGTTATGCCAGATTTGGACTTCAGGAGCCTTGAAAAGTTAAAGTTCTTCTTACACAATTAGAAGAATTAACTACTAGCTATGTGTTTGTAGTAGCCTAAACTCTAAATCCTCTTCCTACAAATGAGTGCAGTTGGGAGAGTGCACTCCCTTTCCTTGACATGATGAACATAAGCTCTAAATATCCAATTCTTTAACATGCATGACAATGTCTTGTTGGCTCAATTTTTACCAGACATTATTGCTTTAAGCATTGTGGCTGTCTCTGTCACTCATGAAGCCTGTGAGTGGCTACCTCTTTTCTTGGACACTAGCATTAGAGAGTAACTATAGACAAAGAATTCTTAATTTTCAATGTTGGCCTGATTTGTCTTCTTGCCTCACCAAATGGTACTATATCATGAAATGTACCATTGTTGAACAGCCACTATTTTATGGATTAATGTGTGAATGAATACACAGAGAAGTAAAATCAGTGTTAGTGTAAAACTTGTTAATCCAACAACCTCCTGTATTGTTTTCCTTTTCTAAATCACAGAAACAGATGCGTGAAAAAAAGTAAGAGTGGGTCTGCTTCTAAAGCAAAATCTAACTTTCTTCTACATGGTGATTTTCCAGTATCTGTTCTTAAAGACTAGATCATTTCATCATTAAATATAGCACAATGAAGTTGTGCTTATCTACAATGAAGTTGAAGCCAATGTGATGATGATGATGATGATGATGATGATGATGATGATGATGATGATGATAATAATAATAATAATAACAACAACAACAGCTCTCGGTGATTTTTGTGCAAGCCGTGAATTTTTTGGCTTAGTTTGCTTTGAGAAAGGATAAAAATCTCTTTTATAATACTAACATGATCTCCTGTTATTAAATCCTAAATTGCAACAACAGCTAGCAGTTTCAAATGTCTGTATTCGTGGATGCTATGATAAACACTTGACATAGATTATCTCATTTAATCCTCACAGAAACCAAATGAAGTGTTTACTGTCATTATCTCTATTTGATGAAGAGGATGCTGAGGCTCAAAGAGAATTAATAACTTGTCCAAGACCAGCTAATGCCAAGTAATCGAGAGTGAACAGCATGTGTGTACAAAGACTAGCCTGGACCAGCGTATTTTTGAGAGGATAACCCACAGGGAAGAAGTAGCAGGTGAGCAGATTTCTTGATACTAATTGAACTGGACACCTAAGCATCAGACCAAGAGTGGCCCAAAAACTAAGCCAAAGGCTTATCTCATTGAGAGGATCACTGGACTCCTGAAAACGTCAGGGGTTGAATCTCAAACTTTGAAGTTTCATTTCTGAAATGTAGGCAAATGTTTTGCCTTAGCATTTATAACTTAGTTCCTCAAAAGTGATAAGAGCTCCTCAATGTGATAAATGTTCTCAGTGGTTTGGTGTCAGAGATTGCTGGATTTGGGCTTTTGTCTGCCCCATAAACATCTCAGAATGCCTGACTTAAACAGTCAGGTTTGTAGACAGTTTCCATAACATATTGAGTTTCCAAATAATTTGGCACTCTGGGGCAGGATGATAACTGTATCTCAGGAAGACAAACCTGCTGGGTTTCTCGGCCCCAAAATAACTTTGCCTGTCACTTAACAAATCAATGGTGGAGCTGTCACTGAAGTATTATGGTCTGGAGCCATCAATCACATGCTAGTTGCAATATGTACTTAAATGAAGTGATGTGCTCATGTAGTAACATCACAATGGTAAATAGCTTTCCTGTTGTGTACTTTTTGTCTTGCGTTTTTAGTTGACCATTTTCAATATTCAGGGACCGTTCTCTCATCTTTCACTTTTTATCTCACTGCTGTGGTATTCTTTGCTCCAACAGAATGTAAATTTTAACTTGATTGTGGTAAGACTAAGTCAATGTGTGGTTGACCGGGAGATTGATGAGTTTATTCTCTGGGCTGACAATGAGATGTAGGGAGAGGTGAAATATAGGGTACCCCAAAAGAAATGAATTGAAATTCAGAATTTCTGACTTCTCTTGCATATGTCAATGTCTTTCGGAAGTTACCTCTGTGCCAGATAGATTACAATGCTCTTGGTATGGTTTGTTATCTTGTACTCTATTTGTAAAGACCACAAATATAATTTTATTCCTTACAAACCTTCCAATCGAAATTAATATATTCATATGCTTTATAAATATAAAATGTCTCAAACTAATAGAAATCATTTATAATTTAGCAGTAGGACTATCTTTGCAAGTCAAAGAGGGTTATGTTTCATAAATGTGATACATATTTTTACCCCACTGGACAGAACATTGCTCAAAGAATAGCTGTTATTCCAAAGGCAGCTATGCTTAAAAACAGGGCATGATACATCTAGTGTGAAAACTCTTAGTTTCTTTGAATTTTTGTAGTATAGCAAGAGTATGTATGTTTATATCATACTGTTTATGTTTTAAATGAGATAAATATAATATGGAAAAAGTGATTACCTTTTGTGTTTTGCCTCACCAAATCCTATGGTCCTCATACAAAAGAGCAGTATTTCCCAAAAGAATGTTGTTTCTAATTATGTGATTACATCTAGTGCTATAAGTCCACTTAGATGTGTAGGCAGGTATGCATGTATGTATTATGTAGACTAGTAATCATTTGAAAAACATGATTTGTTTTAAAAAGCATCCATTGTGCTTCCTATATATCTGGGGTGGGTGCAGAAAGAGGAGTGAGTTAATTGGTGAAAAGCAGTGAAATTCCTTTTTTACAGATTTACTTTGCAGACAAGAGCGTGGACACTTATTTGTTAGTCAGATGTCCTTGAAATATTACTTCATCTCCTCCTTTGTTTTCATTGTTGTCAGAAGGACAACAATCACAGCACTGACCTCATAAGTTTATTATCAATACAGTAAAGCTGTGCATATAAAGAATGAGGAATGGTGTCTAGCATAGAAAAAGCACTCATCAAACATTATCACAGTTGTTTTAATTTCATGATGCATAAAGTTTCCTCACAAACACAGGAAATGTATGCCAGTCAGAAATGGAATCAACCTTGATTTGGGTTTCAATATTTCTTGATTCTAACGGAAGCCTTTAAGACTCTCTAGTTGTCTCTTAATGGATATCAAGGTTGAATCAGATTATGTATTTAGGGTTCCTTACGGTGACTTTTCTGTGTTATTGAAACTGGATTGAATATCACTTCCTCCAATCCTCCCTGATGAACCCAAAATTTCTGATTGTTTTGTGATGTTTTCAAAAACTCAGGCTAGCTAGTGCTTGGCAAGAGAAGCAGGTAGGAGAGCACCATTGATCTGTACCTCTGAGACCACAGATGGCTTAGTATCTGCATGCATGCTGAGCAGAGATAGGCAAACAAGTCCTGTCACTCCCCTTCCACAAACACACCCACCCACACACACACACACACACACACAAATACTCGTCTACTTTTTCATGACAGGCAGAAATTTAACCCACAGTGTGTAATCTTTCTTCTAGGGAAAACAAACAAACAAACAACAACAACAAAAAAAAACCTTGGCAAATAAGTAGGAATTCCTTTAAGGCTATATCAGGTTCAACAGTCCTAAGCATAGGTACACCTTTTTGTATAAAAACATATACACATCTGACTGCATTTCAAGATGGCACAGCTCTTGATAAAGTGTGACTATAAATCTTCCTTTCTATTTTGGCTTCTGCTAACTTGCTCTGATGCTCTTTCTTTCCCATTGGCCCTATTCCATTTGACTTTCTTCCCGATGATCCATCCTTTGAATTTTTTAAAATTTAATTTTATTTTATTAATTATACTTTATTCACTTTGTATCTTCCCCATAAGCCCCTCCCTCCTCCCTTCCCAGTCTCACCCTCTCTCCCCCTTCTTCACGCATGCCCCTCCCCAAGTCCACTGATAGGGGCGATCCTCCTCTCCTTCCTTCTGATATTAGTCTATCAGATCACATCAGGAGTGGCTGCATTGTCATCTTCTGTGGCTGTGTAAGGCTGCTCTCGCTCAGGGGGAGGTGATCAAATTGCAGGCCAATCAGTTCATGTCAGAGGCAGTACCTCTTCCCATTACTATGTGACCCACTTGGACACTAAACTGCCATGGGCTACATCTGTGCAGCGGTTCTAGGTTATCTCCATGCCTGGTACTTGGTTGGAGTATGAGTCTCTGGGAAGACCCCTGTGTTCAAATTTACATCTAAAGAAACTAATCAAGAGAGAGGACCCTGACTAAAATGCTCAATCCCCATCCCGAAAGGCAAAGAGGATGGACATCAGAAGAAGAAAACAGGAAACAACCTAGGAACCTGCCACAGAGGGCCTCTGAAAGGCTCTGCCCTGCAGACTATCAAAGCAGACATTGAGACTTATGGCCAACTGTTGGGCAGAGTGCGTGCAATCTTTTTTTTATATCTTTTTTTTAAAATTTTTTATTAATTACACTTTATTCATTTTGTATCCCCCCATAAGCCCCTCCCTCCTCCCCTCCCGATCCCGCCCTCTCTCCCCTTTCTGCATGCATGCCACTCCCCAAGTCCACTGATAGGGGAGGTTCTCCTCTCCTTTCTGATCTTAGTCTATCAGTTCTCATCAAAAGTGGCTGCATTGTCCTCTACTGTGGCCTGGTAAGGCTGCTCCCCCCTCAGTCAGAGGTGATCAACAAGCAGGCCAATCAGATTATGTCAGAGGCAGTCCCTCTTCCCATTACTATGTAAACCACTTGGACACTGAACTGCCATGGGCTACATCTGTGCAAGAGTTCTAGGTTATCTCCACGTATAGTCCTTGGTTGGAGTATGAGTCTCTGGGAAGTTCCCTGTGTTCAAATTATCTTGTTCTGTTGCTCTGCTTGTGGAGCTCCCGTCCCCTCCAGCTCTTACTATTTCCCACTTCTTACATAAAATTCCATTCACTCTGCCCATCAGTTGGCCATCAGGCTCAGCATCTGCTTTGACAGTCTATACTGCAGAGGCTTTCAGAGGCACTCTGTGGCAGGTTTCAAGGTTGTTTCCTGTTTTCTTCTGGCTTTCAGAGGCCCTCTGTAGCAGGTTCCAAGGTTGTTTCCTATTTTCTTTTTCTTCTGATGTCCATCTTCTTTGCCTTTCAGGATGCAATCTAATGTAAGAAGTGGGAAATAGTAAGATCTGGAGAGGACAGGAATCCCATAGGGAAAGCAACAGAACCAGAAAATTTGACTTTCTTTTTATAATATGAAAATGCTAACTGTGCAGATGCCAAGGGTGAAAGGGTTCTTCTTCCTCACTGAACTGCATGTAGCAGCCCTCTTCTCTCATTCCCAGGGTGAGCTTTGCAATCTTTTAAGAAATAGTTAGTATGTGTCATTAAGTTCATATAGAAATGAAAATGAACAATTCTACTTAATTGTTCAGTTTCAAAATAAAAACAAAAACAAATTACTGAACAAAATTGTTAAACATGCTTTTAAAATTTGAGGTGACTTTTAGCTCTATTAAAATGGAGAAAATTACAGAGAATTTATTATTGTTCTTTAAACTTTTAAAAACAAACATTTTTCTGAGTAAAACATTAAAAGATTATCTGTATAAGATAAAGGAAAGTAAACTTAATTTAAGTAACATATTTAATGGAGCCAATTCACATATCACAAGTAAGTTAATAAACCTCAAATTAAAACCTTTGTATTCAGTCAGATCATTGCTTGATTCAGCAGACAACAGTGAAGATCATGCTGTTCAGAGCGTAAGTTTTTGGTTGCCAAAATCCCAGGCTCTCTCCTTGTTCAGCATATCCTGGTAAGACAAGGATATCCAGAACTCTAAAGTTAGCCCCTTTTTTTCCATGAGGAAGGACAGCTAAGCAACAGGAAGATGATTACTTTTAGTGGACTCTTAAACAAAATAAATTGAGTACCATGTTAAAAACTTCACATGGCCATATTTTATTCTCCAGTGCATGTTTACTAACTGCTTCCTAGCTCTTCTGTGCAAGATATAAGTTGGGTAATAAGTGAACTAAAATTTTGTTTCCTGTTCTTGGAGATGCCATAACCACTTAGGGAAGAGAATCACCCAAATAACTAAGTGCACAGGCTATGTTATTTGAGTAGACCTATGAAAGCTCAGAGAAGGACCAGCCTGAGTTTACATAGAAGGAAGTACAGAGTGAAGTTCTGTGTCACCAAAGAAAA